ACTGAAAAACGATATCATTCAGAACCCGGTGCTGAGTGGGATTTTAACGAACTTAGAACTAAAATATCCACTACGTGATGAAATATTATGCATGTATCATTGTACAGCTAACGCCATTTTGTGGTTTATGCCGCTAGCACGCTGCCCGTGGCACGTGCTTACAACGGTCGTCTCCTCATAAGAGCGCATGCTCACTGTTTTATACAGTGAGCATGCGCGAAAACTCATGATGCATTTCTATGGACGCGCGGATTTTAAATCATAGAATTTATTACCACAGAAGAATACTTCGTATATAATAAGTAATACGAAGTTCGTGCAATAAAAAAATCCCCTTCGTGTTCCAAAAATTTTTCTCATTAACTACATTTTTTTTTATCGATAACACACTCATTCCAACATTAAGAGAAGGTTGACGAGTTTCCATGTACCATTATGTGGACGAAGTCAGGACTGTACTTGTCCAGCTAGTTTAACCGTATATGTAGGGCTGCCATCCGTCCGGGTTTAACCGGATTTGTCCTAGCTTACGGGGCGTTCGGGGAGCGTCCGGGCGGGGTTTTGTTTGTAGTCCGGGTTTAAAATTTCCTGTTTTTGGTCGCCAATTAATCTGTCAATTTACATGTCTTTGAAAATATATAAATCTTTTCTCTCTCAAAGATCAGCTTTATCGCTCACGCTGTACGCAATAACAGCATTCGTTGATATGTGGATATCAGCACTGACAATTTTTACACTGGTCGGTCCAACATCCCTCGGATTTAAGAAGAAGGGTATAAAGACAGACTTGTGTCCGAGATTCAGATGTTACTGGATCAAGTCTCAAATTGGAGCCAACAACCCAGCTAAGACACAAGTGTGTGTGAAAAAGCTTGGGTGCTTAATAGGTCTAGTAAGTACCTCAAGCCTAAATATCGGGTGTTACTTTACAAAGGACTGGTCCTCTGGGCTGGAGCACCCCAATACCAGCTCCTTCCCCTTGACCGGATACAAAAGCGGGCAGTTTAACTTATCGATGATCCTGAGCTCACTGACGCGTTGCAAACCCTTAGCATGCGCAGACGGTACAACATGCACAAGATCGCAACTCCTTATACGTGTTGTACCGTCTATACAATGGAGAGTGTTCCGAGGAATTATTCAACCGGATGCCAGTGGCCAAGTTTCTCCACAGCACCACACACCGCAGAGAAGTTTAACGCCCACCATCTGGACTCCTGGCGTTCGAGCACCAAGTGTTCCTTTCTTTTGCGGACCAGCAAGATCTGGAACGAACTTTCCTCAGTATTTTTTTCTTATAGCTATGATATGGTAATCTTAAAAAGGTGGATGAACCTTTTCGTTCAGAGCCGGCATTGCATGAGTGGCCCTTGGTGCTGCAAGTGTCCATGGACAGCAGTGACCACTTAGTATGAGATGGAATGCTAGCCCTTTTGCCTACATCAACATAGAAAAAAGTTGATTTGTGACATTTTTTACTGTTTTTTTATTGATCTGTCCGGGTTCTGGGCTCCAAAATCCGGGGTTATCACGCGTCTTGTCCTGGTTGTCACATTTTAGAGATGGCAGCCCTACGTATATGCAATATAACTTAGTTGACATTGCTGAAAGCAAGACGCCTAAATTATTGTATACTAGCGGATACCCGCGACTTCGTTCGCATAATGTGTAGAATTACGTTGCATAGTAATAGATTGATCGAAAATATTTTAAATAGTAATTTTATCGTTCAAATGAGCTAATTTAGCGCCACATTGCTTCGTAATAGTAATCGAAAGAAAGTACTATATTCGTAGGTATTGATAATGAGAGATGAAAATTCGAATTTGAACGTGAGATTCAATTTCTGCTCCTCTACAATGGCTTAGTTGTTATAACCAAAAAAGCTCATTACCATTTACGTTACATGTATAGTAATTTTTTTTAGTAAATAAAAAATTTCCTGTTGGAAGATCTCAAATATATTGAATAGATTCCGTTTTTCATTATTTTTAATAAATTAAATTTTTATAAACAAATCGAGTATGCTTACATTTATTTTACATGGTTTGTAACTTTATTTTGGTAAAAGAAAAAATTACGCGTTGGAAGAACTGAAATATATTGCATAGATCGCGTTTTTTATTGTTTATGACAAATTCAATTGTTATAAACAACTTCCATAAACAAAAAGTAGCCTATAACCTTCCCAATAACTCCCTCTACGTATCTGCAAAGTTTGGTTGCAATCGGATAAGCCGTTTCGGAGATTACCGCGAGACAGACGGACAGACACTAGAATTTTATATAGTAGTATAGATATGTACGAAAATGATGATTGGATAAATAAATTATTAAAAACAAACAATTCTTAGATTCTAGTACAGCTCGTGAAAAATAAATTCAGGTCTAATCAGATCTAAATTTGTTTTCTACGGATATAACATTTTTGTGGTCAGATTCTAAATGTTTCTAGACGATTGTCATAATAAAATGTAAGTAAGATTGAATTTATTTATTAAACTTTCACAATAATTTTCTTAATATGTAGTTTAATATTTTTTTTTAACATTGAATAACATTTTAAAAATTTAAATACCATTGAAGTAGAACAATTTCTGTATTAACCCTTCAGAACCCTCGCTATGAGAAATTATCTCACACTTCTCTTTTATCTCTGATTACTTGATTAATTTAAATAGAATGACCTCTTCGAATTTTTTTTTTTTTTTTATAGATAGATCCGACAAATGACTCCACCCCACCTGATGTTAAGTGAAGGTGAAGTCCAGACGCGAAGATAGCTGATACAGCAGTTCTAACTGCCACACCAGCCATCCTCACCCTGCCGGCCTGCAAGTTGCTTCTTCACGCCTCTTTTAAAGGATCCCAGATTGTAAGAGGGTGGGAACACGTGAGCGGGCAGAGCATTCCATTTACGGATAGTACGACAAAGAAATGAGTCACCAAATTTCTTTGTACGCGTTGGAATTGTAGCCACAGTTAGACGGTGACAACGTAAGCCAGCGCGCGTGGTCCTCTGAAGGAAAGGGGAAGGTGGAATAAGAGAGAATAACTCCTCAGAACACTCGCCGTGGTACAGGCGATAGAACGCGCTTAGTGACGCCACGTCACGGCGTAATTGAAGAGGCTCGAGGTGTTTAGTCACCTCCTCATCGCCTATGACGCGGATTGCGCGCCGCTGTAACCTATCCAAAGCATCGAGCAAGTACTTAGCGGAGCCATCCCAGAGGTGCGAGCAATATTCCACGCAAGACCGCACCTGCGTCTTATACAACAAGCACAGTTGCTCGGGCGTGAAAAAACGCCGCACCTTGTTCAGGACTCCGAGTTTGCGTGAGGCTGTTTTTATCACACTTTCGATGTAATTCTTTGGATTTAAGTCACAGCGAATCTCCATACCGAGCATGGTGATACTGCTCTCTAGCTCCAGTGTTGTGCCCTGAAGAGAAGGACATAAAAGGAATGGCGACGTTTTTGCCGTGAAAGCACAGACCTGGGTTTTCTTAGCATTGAACTCAACCAAGTTCTTGGTACTCCATACAGAAATGTGGTCCAAAGCTTGATTGAGCTCAATGACAAGATTCTCCCGTTTCTCCTTGGTTACCGCCTGCCCAGCCGCTGCTTGTCCGAGATACCCCGCATGCACTGTACTATCGTCTGCATAGCAATGAATATTCCCAAGAGGAATTAAGTCATTGATATGCAGCAGAAAGAGAGTGGGGGATAGGACGGAGCCCTGGGGAACGCCGGCATTTACTGACATGAACCGCGAACTGCTACCATCCGTAAGGACACGAATTCTACGCTCATGCAGGAAGTCAGCTACCCAAGAACAGAACTGGGCCGGCAGACCGTATGCCGGAAGCTTAGAGAGAAGACTTTTGTGCAAGACCCTGTCGAATGCCTTGGCAATGTCAAGGCTAATAGCCAACGACTCGCCTCGCTTGTCGATAGCCTCACCCCAGATATGAGTCAAGTACGCTAGAAGATCACCCGTCGATCGTTTCGGTATATTTTGTATCTTCTTTTCAAAAATGATTAACTTTTCTTCAGATCTGTTCATATTTGATTCTTTTTTGCACGTAAAATGTACTTTTTTTCAGATCAATTCACATCTGATTTTTACCTTTACGAGAATAAATAACTTTTTCATATCCATTTAAATCTGAGTTTTGCCTTTACGAAAATGATCAACTGTATTCAGATCTGTTCAGATATGTTTTTTAAAAAATTTTTGGATTTAAGCAGTCTTCGTGTATTCGTAACCGTTGGTCCGCCATATTATTTCATTATAAATCTTTTGGGTCACGTTCCAAAAAAAACAAGTGAGTTTGAAATTTGAATTTTATTTTCACTACGGCGCATGTGCACAGATTCGTAGAAGGCGAGAAATTTTTTCTCATCGCCAGAGGATTCTTTACAATTTTTAGTACGAGGGCACAGCGGTGACACTCTCTGTGCCAATGAATATTTATGCATAGTAAGTTATTACATGTAAACTGATTTAAGGATACTGGGGTAAATAATGAAGGATAGGTTTGATTTTATAATCAATTTTTAATCATTTAATGTAGCTACTATAACAAATTGCTAACTTTTATATATTTTCTCCTTTTTCGATTCGTTTTATAATTGTTATTATTATCTAAATAATAATAAGATTGCGTAGCGTAGTCAGTCTGTGCGTGCAATGCAGTGCAACGCTATTATTTTACTATTTCGCTACTGCCAATACTGCCATGCCTTCGGTCGAGGCAGTCGGCGACTGCCCTCTCCACGTCCCGCGCGCCGCGCAACGCCCCCGCGCACCTCCAGACACCCACACATAGCCGTGGGCGATTTTACGAGCACACATGCTTAAGCGTCGCTTCTTTTCGCGTAGTGTTTATATTCTGTGACGAGGGTTCTGAGTTGTACATTACTTTTTGGTACCTCTTTGTAACCCAGTGATGTTTGACCTGACCGAGATAGAGCAAGACAGTCGCTCTTTAAACGTTGGGGGAGACGCGTGTCAATTTTGTTGATACACCAATACACTACCAAATTTATTCACATAGTATTTGATCAATAAACAGTCGTTTTTTCTGAATAAAAATTGTAACGATGGACTCGGAGCACAGATATGCATTTGTAGCAATGTTTGATGGTAAAAAAGTGAAAAAATATATAAAATCTATGGAGGAGATTGTTGGAATTGAATGGATCACAGAAACGAAGTTTTGGTTCCGTGATAGAAATGATGCTTACTATGAAGGAATAATACTAGCAAAAAACGGTAAGTAATTTTATCTCTGAGAAACATTTAAGGCTTGATATGGGTTTGATAAACTTCAGCGTGTAGGTAAGATAAAATCGATCGAGCACAATGTTTAATATTATAATCGGGTTCTCATTAACTTTAGATACCTAGTTATTGAATTACGAACGAAATTTGTAAGATTGCATTTTTGGTTGTAGTAGTACGTGTTATCAGGTACAGTAACGTAAATTGTTTTTCGGGAATATTCCGAGATCAATAAAATTGGAAGTAACAACTGTTTTCTAAAAATGCATTTATGAGAAATAATTATTTTCATCGACTATAATAGCACTTAGTCATTAACCAGCTCGATGGTTGAGTTGGTAATGCGCCAGCCTGGCATGTTACAGGTCGGAGGTTTAAATATCGGATTAGGAAAAATCCAAGTATAGTTTTTTCCAAGATTGCAGATAGGTAATAGGGATGATGACTAATTTTTTTTTCTTCGTTTATCGGATAGATTATCAAAAAGTATTGGACACGTATTTTTTCTTTTTTCACATAATATAAGCATTGCAGAGATATATTGATTTGAAAAGTCGCATGACGTCACGTTTGAGTACACTTATAAGGGAAAATTCAAAAGTAGTGTTGCCGATCGATAGTCGACTATCGAGGATTAATCGATAGTCTATCGATAGCCGACCAATCGTATGACAATCGATCGGCATATCGATAGTATCGATTCTATCGATAGCACAGAACAAGCCAATACTATCGGATGAGTGAAATACTATCGATACTATCGATAGTATTGTAGGTCGGTAATAACAAACTATCGATAGTATCGATACTGTCGATTTTATTTGCAACTATACTATCGATAGTTTAACAAATTTGCAATAGTATTGTTTACAATTTTCAGGTATTATAGTCAATCACAATCAACTATTAAAATTAGCACAGCTCGATAGAAATGTTTATAAAAATATATATATCAGCCTCTAATAGTCCTCAACTACAATACTGTTAAAACATACCTAATACTATTGCAAATTGGTAGACTATCGATAGTCTAAAACAATCGCTAGTATAGATACTATCGATAGTATTGTTGCAGATAAAATCAACGGTATCGATAGTATCGATACAATCAATAGTTTGTTATTAACGAACTACAATAGTATCGATAGTATCGATACTATTGCACTCATTCGATAGTATTGCCTTATTCTGTGCTATCGATAGTTTCGATACTCTCGATTGTATCGATTCTATCGATAGGCCTATCGATAGGGTACATGATTTTCGATGTAAACTGTCGATAGTTTTCATATCGATAGTTCGGCAACACTACTCAAAAGTGACGTCACAAGCCCCTACTCCCAAACTTTGACGCGCTAAAACTTTGTCATTTTTTGGTTGATTGCCCAAAGAAAAAATACGTGTCCATTATTTTTCGATCATCTAACTGACGGACTAAATAGAATTTCGTTTACTGTACCCCGTCATCACCCTTATTGAATCGGAGATTTCTCATATTGGTTGCATCAAATATTATAATAAATATCTTATCTTACTTACTTATCATTACTGAGCTCACAATGTTCATTATGATGATAAACATTTAAACGAGGAAGTAGGAGAATTGATAACAATGGACGCACTACATTGCTAAGCACATGTTCAATGGACGCATTTAGCGTCTCGTGCCCCTTACTGCGTGTAAGGGGCGTTCTCAATCACTTACCGTTCTCTATCCCCCACTCTTTTCTAGAATTTATTAAATTAATAATATTTTCATATGCTGAATTAATTTACGTATATATTTATTGTCCATAATGAATTAATAAACTTAATAGTAGAAATTTAGCTCAAACTTTCGGATTTTTTTTCTCGACAATGACTAAATAGTGCGTTACAATTTTAGTATATCAATACACCTATTAAGTATTTATTAAACCATTGCCGTCTTCTTGCAAATGTTAATAAAACGTTGCACCGAGTACGCGTCTTAAGCGACTTTAAAAAAATGGTTGCCTGTAAAGTCGGTTTTACGGGCGAAGATTTTACGTGGCAACGTCTTTTTCTCGGTAGAATATTTATTGATATGAATATAATTAAATTGCACAATAGGAACAAGGAATTGAATGAAAATAAGAATTGCACAAATTTTAACTATAGAAATATATTTTGTTTACTAAAACATTGTACATGTAAACTTAAACTTAACACGAGAGACTCATCGTAACGTTACCGAGCGTTACACTTTTTCATAAGTGACTCCCAGCCGCAACCTAATTTAAGACGTTGTCACGTCAAAATGAAAGATTCCATGTAATAAAAATTCTAGTTTCTCAGTTTTTAACCAACTAAAATTGTTGAAATGCAGAGATGATCATAGATATTGTTTTTTACTTTTTTGTGGTATACAATTCAAATGTAAATTATTACGTATGGTACTCTCTGAAAATGAAACAGTGAAAATAATGAAATACACTGCAAAATCAGTGAATATAAAACAACTGATTCAAACAGTGGTTCAATTTACACTAAAAAATCAATGAATATTCACTGATTATGCAGTGAATATGCAATGTAGGTACGTCATTATTTTCACTGTTTCATTTTTAGAGAGTACATTTTTGATAAATTAAAAACGTATCTTCGAAGAAAGACTTGGCCCAATGTTACCATGTATGCAGGTAATCTTGAATGTTTTAAATAAATGAGACTAAATTCGGTAGCGTTTAATACTGTGTTTTTTTTTCTTTTGATAGTACTATTGCTTACTCGAAATTTTTATTTTTTACAGAAAATGAACAAACACTTCGGGACCGAGTCTCAAAAAAGTCACCTCGAATTCCTCACAATGCCTTCAAGCCATTCCCCGATCCGGTGAATGTCATTTCATTTTCAAATTATTTCTCAAACTCCCACATAAAAAAAGAGTATAAATTTGAAAAAAACGTTTGTCAAGATGAATGCCTTTTTTCTTGCTTCATTGCCGAACAAGTACTAAGCGGGAGTAATTGCAGAAAGGGTGTGATTAATTATGACAAACGACAACTTTACTTAACTGCTTTTATGCTGTTCTCAAATGGCGTTTGTTGGTTATAAATCTTTTACGCATTTCTATGGCTCGACTCAAGTGGCAGTATCGAATTAATAAAATCGGCACTGTAATCATTCCTACCTTAATAATCCCATTTTTTCATGAATTACATGTTTGATTACCGAAAAGTACTTTTCTTATTCTTTATACGCTTTGATCGTGAATCATGTATATGAAGAGAACAAAAAAAAATGTCTAGAGTAACATTGTGAATTTTTAACTACAGGGCATCGGAGTCACAATTCTAATTTGTTTACCAAAAAATGTTTTATGAACACAATTCAATAGTAGCATGACTTTCAACCGGTAAACAAACAAACATCCGCGATTTAATATTAACTTCAAAATTAAATGTTTACATTTGAATAGCGAAATGCTTGACGACTTAATTTCAACTCAATGAATTGTCTGTAGCAAGAATATTATAATATTTTTTATCGATCAATCTCACAGAAGATTATAAACGGATTAAAGTAATAGTCTTGAGTTCTGAAAGAGTTAAGCGTCTCAGATGTCCTATAACTGTGGTATGTGCACTTCATTTTGATTTACTTTAATCGAATTCCAGAATGTACAACCAACGAGTCTAGTTGAAAAATGGAAGAAAAGGCTCACCACGAGAGCTGACAACATTCTCGAGTCTATTTTGAAAGAACTCCGCCAAGAGTGTAACCCAAAATTATTTGCAGAAAGTGAGAAGAGAAGAAAATCATCAGTTGAAACGATGAATGATGGAGGAGAAAATGGATCAACTTTCATTAAGAAAGAGCATAAAGTGAATCACACCCCCGTCGCAGAAGAGGTTTGTTGTTGAAATTAATAAGTTAGTAAAACAGATTTCTAACTCTACATCTTTTCAGAGCTAGCAATACTTGCCAAATATTCGAGTTTGTTTAGCTCTGATTTTCCTTTTTAATAAATGATAATCCGTTTCTTTTCTAGATTAAACTACGACAAGAAAATAATTTAATGAATGCTACTATAAAACAGCCCATTGAACTGTTTTGTCAATTTATTATTGCTCTTGTATTGCTACTTTTGTATATTCTTTATATCTAATACCAAAAGTTAGAATTAATTTATGAAAAAAGTGGTTTAGGTGCGACCCGAAAGGTCCACACGACTAACTTCCCAGCGGAAAGAATGATAAGATTTAGCTAGTTTACTATTTATTCTAGTTTTTTGATTCTGCATAAAAAATGGCTAGACCAATTTTGCTCAAAATCTAATCAGGTCTAAGTTACATAATTATGCATTGAGTGAAATAGGTCCCATGTCAATATCATCATTTGTTCTCGAGATACGCGAGGCGAAAATTGAATCCGAACATACATAAATATATACATACATACATACAAACATGTGCACACACGGACATCCTCTTAAAAACCATACCATTCGACTCCAAAGACCTTAAAACGTGGAGATATGTTAAAATTTTCAATTTGCAAAATCGGGCCCATTACAATAACTTCCCACTGGGAAGTTAATTAAACTTTTGTTATCTTGATGTTAGAGATCATGAGTTAATGAAGAATTCACTGGATTTTATAATATCATCGAATAAAATTTTGCTTGTTGAAATAAGTTCTCGAAAAATCAAACAATTCTCTTCTGTTGAGTAGAATTCTCATGAATAATAGTACATTATGCATCCAGAGACCTAAGTGGGCTATTAATGTCTTGCGTAGATGCGTCAATATTTGTTTTTCGAACCTCAAAAAAAATTTGGTGTCTACCTGCAATTGATCATGATTGCAGCCACTTAAGCTTCCCTCAATAGTCATGATAAATAAGCACTCATATATCTAAAGAAAATATAACTAGAAAAAATTCCACGCGGACCAGGCAGCAGACGGGACTCGAACCCGCACCCTTCGCAATCCGGGCGAATGCACTGACCAATTTATGCTACCGCGGCCCTCACGGACCGCGTCGAAATTCTTTCTAGCTATTCTTAAGCTGCAAGGCAGCGCCATCTCTTCGCATTATAGGTAAACCCACAATGTCAAATGAATACTTTTACAAGTATTAAACATTTGAAAGAAGAAATAGCAATTATAGTTATAATTTTTATTATTTTTAAAGCATGTAACTGCTTGATATTTAAATCTAAAGAAAATATAACTAGAAAAAATTCCACGCGGACCAGGCAGCAGACGGGACTCGAACCCGCACCCTTCGCAATCCGGGCGAATGCACTGACCAATTATGCTACCGCGGCCCTCACGGACCGCGTCGAAATTCTTTCTAGCTATTCTTAAGCTGCAAGGCAGCGCCATCTTTTCGCATTATAGGTAAACCCACAATGTCAAATGAATACTTTTACAAGTATTAAACATTTGAAAGAAGAAATAGCAATTATAGTTATAATTTTTATTATTGCCTTGCAGCTTAAGAATAGCTAGAAAGAATTTCGACGCGGTCCGTGAGGGCCGCGGTAGCATAATTGGTCAGTGCATTCGCCCGGATTGCGAAGGGTGCGGGTTCGAGTCCCGTCTGCTGCCTGGTCCGCGTGGAATTTTTTCTAGTTATATTTTCTTTAGATTTAAATATCAAGCAGTTACATGCTTTAAAAATAATAAAAATTATAACTATAATTGCTATTTCTTCTTTCAAATGTTTAATACTTGTAAAAGTATTCATTTGACATTGTGGGTTTACCTATAATGCGAAGAGATGGCGCTGCCTTGCAGCTTAAGAATAGCTAGAAAGAATTTCGACGCGGTCCGTGAGGGCCGCGGTAGCATAATTGGTCAGTGCATTCGCCCGGATTGCGAAGGGTGCGGGTTCGAGTCCCGTCTGCTGCCTGGTCCGCGTGGAATTTTTTCTAGTTATATTTTCTTTAGATTTAAATATCAAGCAGTTACATGCTTTAAAAATAATAAAAATTATAAGCACTCATATAGCCTGTAATATATAAATATATTTATTCTTAAAGGCCATGCTATTCGTCAAAAATGGAAGGAAGATTTCATCATTCGCTGATCCAAACAAAAGAATGCTAAAAAACACTTTTGTTTTGTTGCAGAAAAAGTCAACAACAATGGCAAAAGAAGCACCGAATGAAGTAAGCATGATTATTACTCTTGTTCTTTTTAGATATTCGTGGTAAAGAGCTTCTTACATAAAAAGTTGCTCAATACAAATTTATAATTGGAGTCGAATTGTTCGTCTATAAAATCAAAATAATTACTTGTTCTTAGATTTATGCATTTCTTGTATACAATCACTGACAGACGAAGTGAATTATCATCAACTTTAAACGAAAAGTGACGTCATCACTAAACCATGTTTAATAAAGGTTTTGCAACTACCTCATAAAAATTATTCAAGATTTGAAGCAGGTTTTGTAAATTATTCATAGAGTCTGCAGTCGCTCTTAACGAAAGTTCTATTTTGTTCTTTATTTCTTACAATTTAGCTGCGAAATAATTTGAATGATGTAATGAATCGATTTCCTATTCATATTATTATTTAGTACACGAAGAAATTTTTTTCATTAAATGTAAGAGCAAAAATGACAAGTGCACTTGTCATGCACGTTTCGAAATTTAGAAGTAAAAATATTAAGTTCTACAGTCAATTTTGGGTTGTGGCAAGTAATTTTTAAGTTATCCTACGTAATTATTTTAACAAGACACCTTTTAAGTATCAAGTTAACTGATAATCCTTTTCTTTTCTAGATTAAACTACGACAAGTAAATAATTTAACTACTATAAAACAGCCCATTGAAAATAATCGAAAACTAAATATCCAAAATAATGAAATTGAAATGTCATCAGAAGAATCGGGTGAAAATGATGTTTCATCTTGCGGCAATGTAAGTTACATTTTTTTATAGTTCAATTATCAAATCTTCGAATAATAAACTTATAATTGACTAGCAGACTCCCACGACTTCGTCCGCGTAATGTGTAGAAATACATTACATAATAATAGATTGATCGAAAATGTTTTAAATAGTAATTTCATGGTTTAAATGAGCCCATTTGGATACGCATTGCTTAGTGATAGTAATAAATGAAAAGTAAAAAATTCGTAGGCATTGATAATGAACAGAAAAAAATTGAATTCCTGCTTATGATTTAATTTCTGCTTCTATAAAACGATTCAGTTGTTATGAAAAAAATCGTTTCGATTCATTTAACATAGTTAGTAACTCTATTTCCAAGAACCAAGAAAAGAAAAAATTACGTGTTGATAGAACTCAAATATATTGCATAGATCTCGTTTTTCATTGTTTATAGCAAATTATATTGTTATAAACAATTTACGTAAACAGAAAGTAGCCTATGACCTTCCCGACAACTCCCTCTATATGTCTGCAAAATTTGGTTGCAATAGGAACAGCCATTTTGGAGATTAACGTGAACAGATAGACAGACAGGCATCAGAAATTTATATAGTAGTATAGATTTACTATCCATGAGTTTAGTTAATCTAAATAAGGACTTTTTTGTTAAGAGAATATAACATAATTTTCAAACAATAGCTGAATAACTAGTTGAAAATTTTCCATAGAACGTGCGGTGAATGCTATTTTACTGCACTGAAAGAATAACGTAGGAAAGATTCCCATGTTCCCTAGTTGTTTGAAGACAGTCTCAACTACTTGGGACTGTTTACTTTTTAAATAAAGTAATGTATCGTAGAAAACTTAGGAGTACAAATAAGTTTCCGCCGTTTTATTGTCGATGGCGCGGCACGGAGTTTCGGTAAGCTTTCGCAGATGATAACCGGCTTAAAAAATAGTTTGGACATTCAAGAACAACATAACCTATTCATATTATTGATTTTGTATTGATAAAATATAATTTTTATAAGGTGAAAATGTCAAAATTTGAGCCAAGTAAGCGTCATTTGCGGGAAATATTAGTTTACTTCTTTAATTTAAAGAAATCTGCTGCTGAGGCGCATCAATTGCTCGTAGAAGCATATGGTGAGGGTGCTTTGAGTCAGAGAACGTGTCGAGAGTGGTTTCGATTATCGCAGTGGAAGGCCAAAAATTTACGAGGATGCAGAATTGGAGGAATTATTGGAGGAAGATTCATCTCAAACACAAAAAGAACTTGCCCTAACATTAGAAGTCACTCAGCAAGCAGTCTCACATCGTTTAAAATCATTAGGAATGATTCATAAACAAGGAAATTGGGTTCCGTACGAATTAAAGCCGAGAGATATTGAACGTCGATTATGCTTAAGTGAAATGCTGCTAGCTAGACATAAAAAAAAATGGTTTTTTACATCGTATCGTAACTGGTGATGAGAAGTGGATACATTATGACAATCCAAAAAGAAGAAAATCATGGGGATTACCTGGCCACGCGTGTAAAAACTTATGCTGTGTATTTGGTGGGATCAGCTAGGTGTAGTGTATTATGAGTTGCTTAATCCGAGCGAAACAATTACTTGAGCCCTCTATCGAACACAATTGAATATATATAAGAATAATATAATATAATAATAGCCCTCAATACTATTCTAGACATAAAAAAATTATTCTTCTGCATGACAATGCTCGTACACATGTTGCGGCTCCCGTGAAAAAGTACTTGGAAACACTTGATTGGGAAGTGTTACCCCACCCGCCGTATTCACCAGACATTGCACCGTCCGATTATCACCTGTTCCGGTCCATGGCACATGCTCTGACGGCGCAGCGGTTCACATCTTATGAGGATACCAAAAATTGGGTTGATTCGTGGATAGCCTCAAAAGACAAGGAGTTCTTCAGACGTGGGATTCGAATGCTGCCTGAGAGATGGGAAAAAGTGGTTGCAAGTGATGGGCAATATTTAAATTAAATTTATATTACCGTTCTTCTATAATAAATATTTAATTTGTGTTAAAAAACGGCGGAAACTTATTTGTACTCCTGTATACATATTGACTAGAAACGTAGGTGCATATTGTCTAGAAACTACGGATTATGATTTCTAGGCTAAATTATAAGAAGAATTACTTACTTTTTCCAAATACTTAAAAATGCACTAACTCAACTCTAAACTCATTCACTTTTATACCGCAACAAAAATCAAAAACACTATTACACTTTTTAATGACGTTACTTTGAAAGGATAAGATCGCGGATTAAAACTAAAAACAATACTAAAAATACTTAAATATTTATTTATAATTTGAAAAAAGGCTTATTCGTTCATGAAAATATCGAAATACACAAATAAACTATTAAATATCAACGTACTTAATAAAATTTAATACCTACCTATATTTTAAATGAGGCCAATCTTTATTTTTCGACGTAAATATAGTGAATGTTAATAAATGTAGGCGTACAAGAGTGAATTATTTGTACTTCATTCATTCAGGGATTCCTGAAGAAGTACCCGCTACAGAGACGGGAATTCCCCTAGAGTATTGGCGTTCAGCGAAGTTAAAAGAATATTAGAACCGCGTAAAAAGTCTAGTTGGCTGTGGTTTTTTGATCTTGATGAAATTATGTAGGTACTTAGCACATTTATAAAGTCTAGTTTAGGATTTGATCAGAGGAACGCGGAGGCATTTGGAGGCCCCCCAAGACCGGAGGCCCGGGGCGAGCCGCCCCTTCCGCCCCCCTGCTAGTCCGCCACTGGTTTTCATTACTACTTATATAACGCATCAGCGCCAATGTGTCACGTAGCCGCTCTAGTTCTTATGGTAATAATTGCCATGTTCTGTCGATAATTAAATCAATCGACTTTGTAGATTTTCAGCTCTTCTATGAATTCCAAATAAAATAAAGTACTAAATGTATTATTTAGTCGACTTTAAATTAATAACAATAGTTGTTTTTTACAATAATATGTCTATTAAGCGATATCACTTATTATTTCAATAAAGCGGAGACATAAATATAACATTAGGACGGCTCTACTGCAATTGTGTATACATAACACTCATTCATAAGGAACGTAGGAATGATTCCGATGTACGTTGAGTTTCAATCCTACGTTAACTCATAACTGTAGCTATGTTTATTTGGGATCAATTACTTTTTATACCACGAAATGAGTAATACAATGGTAAAACCTATCCCCAAATGACTTAGTTATCTGGGAGTCGCTGCTTAGTTTTATAGGAATGGTTCCTATGTTCTTTTTTCACTGTGAGTGGATACACGGCCTAGAGCCAAAGGTAGTTGAACAGCTAGGAATGTTTCTACCTTTGTGGACTTACAGGAAAAAAACTATTGTTAACACAACTATACCAAGGACTGTTCTAAATATACCTCAGTGAATTCTGGACGTTGCTTGTAATGTGTATTGGGGGAGAAGCCGCACGTTGAGATTAATTAAGCCTGAATTTCTATCAGAGAAATATAAAGCGTTGACTTTCAGTTTGTTCTTTAAAACCGAAATTAGCAACAAGCGTTTCAATGGAACAGGCTTAGCGTGTTGAAAAAGTTTACAAGAATAGTATAATTGGATTAGCATTGCTGATATGACAGCGATACATTTCGTCAGAATAGCAGTATTTTTTTCACTGTTTTGTCAATTTATTATTGCTCTTGTATTGCTACTTTTGAATATTCTTTATATCTAATACCAAAAGTTAGAATTAATTTATGAAAAAAGTGGCCTAGGTGCGACCCGAAAGGACCACACGACTAACTTCCCAGCGGAAAGAATGATAAGATTTAGCTAGTTTACCATTTATTCTAGTTTTTTGATTCTGCATAAAAAATGGCTAGACCAATTTTGCTCAAAATCTAATCAGGTCTAAGTTACATAATTATGCATTGAATGAAATAGGTCCCATGTCAATATCATCATTTGTTCTCGAGATACGCGAGGCGAAAATTGAATCCGAACATACATAAATATATACATACATACATACAAACATGTGCACACACGGACATCCTCTTAAAAACCATACCATTCGACTCTAAAGACATTGAAACGTGGAGATATGTTAAAATTTTCAATTTGCAAAATCGGGCCCATTAAAATAACTTCCCACTGGGAAGTTAATTAAACTTTTGTTATCTTGATGTCAGAGATCATGAATTAATGAAGAATTTACTGGATTTCATAATATCATCGAATAAAATTTTGCTTGTTGAAATAAGTTCTCGAAAAATCAAACAATTCTCTTCTGTTGAGTAGAATTCTCATGAATAATAGTACATTATGCATCCAGAGACCTAAGTGGGCTATTAATGTCTTGCGTAGATGCGTCAATATTTGTTTTGCGAACCTCAAATAAAATTTGGTGTCTACCTGCAATTGATTATGATTGCAGCCACTTAAGCTTCCCTCAATAGTCATTATAAATAAGCACTCATATAGCCTGTACTATATAAATATATTTATTCTTAAAGGCCATCCATGTCAAAAATGGAAGGAAGATTTCATCATTCGCTGATCGAGAGAAAAGAATGCTAAAAAACACTTTTGTTTTGTTACCGAAAAAGTCAACAACAATGGCAAAAGAAGCACCGAATGAAGTAAGCATGATTATTACTCTTGTTCTTTTTAGATATTCGTGGTAAAGAGCTTCTTACATAAAAAGTTGTTCAATACAAATTTATAATTGGAGACGAATTGTTCGTCTAAAGAATCAAAATAATTACTTGTTCTTAGATTTATGCATTTCTTGTATATAATCACTGACAGACGAAGTGAATTATCATCAACTTTAAACGTAAAGTGACGTCATCACTAAACCATGTTTAATAAAGGTTTTGCAACTACCTCATAAATTATTCAAGATTTGAAGCAGGTTTTGTACATTATTCATAGAGTCTGCAGTCGCTCTTAACGAAAGTTCTATTTTGTTCTTTATTTCTTACAATTAAGCTGCGAAATAATTTGAATGATGTAATGAATCGATTCAATAGATTTCCTATTCATATTATTATTTAGTACACGGAGAAAAATTTTTCATTAAATGTAAGAGCAAAAATGAACAGTTCACCTGTCATGCACGTTTCGAAATGTAGAAGTAAAAATATTTCTGTTCTACAGTCAATTTTGGGTTGTGGCAAGTAATTTTTAAGTTATCCTACGTAATTATTTTAACAAGACACCTTTTAAGTATCAAGTTAACTGATAATCCGTTTCTTTTCTAGATTAAACTACGACAAGAAAATAATTTAATGAATGCTCCTATAAAACAGCCCATTGAAAATAATCGAAAACTAAATATCCAAAATAATGAAATTGAAATGTCATCAGAAGAATCGGGTGAAGATGATAAATCATCTTGCGGCTCAAACAATGTAAGTTACTTGTTTCTTAGGTTTTCACGCACATCACTCATTAAATAAAACTAGTTTTTACGGGTTAATGCACGAAACTTTATTTATTTATTGACGTTTCGTAGCCTTTACAGGCTACGTCGTCAGAATTTAACTTAAGTTTAATTCTGACGACGTAGCCTGTAAAGGCTACGAAACGTCAATAAATAAACGTAATAAAATAGCCGTAAAAACTAGTTTTATTTAATGTAAGTTACATTTTTTTATAGCGGACTCTTCCCTCAAGGCTACCAACCCAATCAATGAAGTTTGACAGTTACGCTGACGTAAGCGGTTCGCTATCATAGACAAAACAGCTGTCCTACGTGTGTCAGTGTCACGCTCTGTTTAAAAACAAACACTACAAGTTCAATTGTCAAATCTTCAAATAATAAACTCATAATTGACTAGCAGACTCCCGCGACTTCGTCCGCGTAATGTGTAGAAATACGTTACATAATAATAGATTGATCGAAAATGTTTTAAATAGTAATTTCATGGTTTAAATGAGCCAATTTGGATACGCATTGCTTAGTGATAGTAATAAACGAAGAGTAAAAAATTCGTAGGCATTGATAATGAACAGAAAAAAATCGAATTCCTGCTTATGATTTAATTTCTGCTTCTATAAAACGATTCAATTGTTATGAAAAAAAATCGTTTCGATTCATTTAACATAGTTAGTAACTCTATTTCCAAGAACCAAGAAAAGAAAAAATTACGTGTTGATAGAACTCAAATATATTGCATAGATCTCGTTTTTCATTGTTTATAGCAAATTATATTGTTATAAACAATTTACATAAACAGAAAGTAGCCTATGACCTTCCCGACAACTCCCTCTATATGTCTGCAAAATTTGGTTGCAATAGGAACAGCCGTTTTGGAGATTACCGTGAACAGATAGACAGACAGACATTAGAAATTTATATAGTAGTATAGATTTACTATCCATGAGTTTAGTTAATCTAAATAAGGACTTTTTTGTTATGAGAATATAACATAATTTTCAAACAATAGCTGAATAACTAGTTGAAATTTTTCCATAGAACGTGCGGTGAATGCTATTTTACTGCACTGTAAGAATAACGTAGGAAAGATTCCCATGTTCCCTAGTTGTTTGAGGACAGTCTCAACTACTTGGGACTGCTTACTTTAAAATAAAGTAATGTATCGTAAAAAAGGTAGGAATGGTTCCGATGCACTACAGTTCCCCGGCAGCATATCAATCAGTCCTATTCGCAGTAATAAAGTCTACGATTCAACAATGTAATCGTTGCTACTGAAAACAAAGGAATCATTCCGATGGTACATCGTTTTCATTACTACTTATATAACGCATCAGCGCCAATGTGTCTCGTAGCCGCTCTAGTTCTTATGGTAATAATTGCCATTTTCTGTTGATAATTAAATCAATCGACTTTGTAGATTTTCAGCTCTTCTTTGAATTCCAAATAAAATAAAGTACTAAATGTATTATTTACTCGACTTTTTAAATTTATATATTTAATTTAAATTAATAACAATAGTTTTTTTTTTTACAATAATATGTCTATTAAGCGATATCACTTATTATTTCAATAAAGCGGAGACATAAAAATAAAATTAGGACGGCCCTACTGCAATAGTGTATACATAACACTCATTTATAAGGAACGTAGGAATGATTCCGATGTACGTTGAGTTTCAATCCTACGTTAACTCGTAACTGTAGCTATGTTTATTTGGGTTCAATTACTTTTTAAACAACGAAATGAGTAATACAATGGTAAAACCTATCCCCAAATGACTCAGTTATCTGGGAGTCGCTGCTTAGTTTTATAGGAATGGTTCCTATGTTATTTTTTCACTGTGAGTGGATACACGGACTAGAGCCAAAGGTAGTTGTAGGTAACAGCTAGGAATGTTTCTACCTTTGTGGGCTTACAGGAAAAAAAACTATTGTTAACACAACTATACCAAGGACTGTTCTAAATATACCTCAGTGAATTCTGGACGTTGCTTGTAATGTGTATTGGGGGAGAAGCCGCACGTTGAGATTAATTAAGCCTGAATTTCTATCAGAGAAATATAAAGCGTTGACTTTCAGTTTGTTCTTTAAAACCGAAATTAGCAACAAGCGTTTCACTGGAACAGGCTTAGCGTGTTGAAAAAGTTTACAAGCATAGTATAATTGGATTAGCATTGCTGATATGACAGCGATACATTTCGTCAGAATAGCAGTATTTTTTTCACTGTTTTGTCAATTTATTATTGCTCTTGTATTGCTACTTTTGTATATTCTTTATATCTAATACCAAAAGTTAGAATTAATTTATGAAAAAAGTGGTTTAGGTGCGACCCGAAAAGTCCACACGACTAACTTCCCAACGGAAAGAATGATAAGATTTAGCTAGTTTACCATTTATTCTAGTTTTTTGATTCTGCATAAAAAATGGCTAAACCAATTTTGCTCAAAATCTAATCAGGTCTAAGTTACATAATTATGCATTGAATGAAATAGGTCCCATGTCAATATCATCATTTGTTCTCGAGATGCGCGAGGCGAAAATTGAATCCGAACATACATACATACATAAATATAATATATTATATATATATGTATATTATACATACATACATACATACATGTGCACACACGGACATCCTCTCAAAAACCATACCATTCGACTCTAAAGACTTTGAAACCTGGAGATATGTTAAAATTTTCAATTTGCAAAATCGGGCCCATTATAATAACTTCCCACTGGGAAGTTAGTTAAACTTTTGTTATCTTGATGTCAGAGATCATGAATTAATGAAGAATTCACTGGATTTTATAATATCATCGAATAAAATTTTGCTTGTTGAAATAAGTTCTCGAAAAATCAAACAATTCTCTTCTGTTGAGTAGAATTCTCATGAATTATGCATCCAGAGACCTAAGTGGGCTATTAATGTCTTGCGTAGATGCGTCCATATTTGTTTTTCGAACCTCAAAAAAAATTTGGTGTCTTCCTGCAATTGATCATGATTGCACCTACTTAAGCTTCCCTCAATAGTCAAGATAAATAAGCACGCATATAGCCTGTAATATATAAATATATTTATTCTTAAAGGCTATCCATGTCAAAAATGGAAGGAAGATTTCATCATTCGCTGATCCAGAGAAAAGAATGCTAAAAAACACTTTTGTTATTCACCCGAAAAAGTCAACAACAATGGCAAAAGAAGCACCGAATGAAGTAAGCATAATTATTACTCTTGTTCTTTTTAGATATTCGTGGTAAAGAGCTTCTTACATAAAAAGTTGCTCAATACAAATTTATAATTGGAGTCGAATTGTTCGTCTAAAGAATCAAAATAATTACTTGTTCTTAGATTTATGCATTTCTTGTATACAATCACTGACAGACGAAGTGAATTATCATCAACTTTAAACGAAAAGTGACGTCATCACAAAACCATGTTTAGTAAAGGTTTTGCAACTACCTCATAAATTATTCAAGATTTGAAGCAGGTTTTGTACATTATTCATAGAGTCAGCAGTCACTCTTAACGAAAGTTCTATTTTGTTCTTTATTTCTTACAATTTTGCTGCGAAATAATTAGAATGATGTAGTGAATCGATTCAATCGATTTCCTATTCATATTATTATTTAGTACACGGAGATCATTAAATGTAAGAGCAAAAATGACAAGTGCACTTGTCATGCACGTTTCGAAATTTAGAAGTAAAAATATTTCTGTTCTACAGTCAATTTTGGGTTGTGGCAAGTAATTTTAAGTTATCCTACGTAATTATGTTAACAAGACACCTTTTAAGTATCAAGTTAACTCACAAGAACTCAAAATTTACTATTGAATAGAAATATTTTTACTTCTAAATTCCGAAACGTGCACTCGTCATATTTGCACTTACATTTAGTGAAAAAATTCTTTCCGTGAAGCAAAAATATAAAAAGATCATCTGATAATATTCATCAAGTTATTTCTATGATCATCGGAACATATTCGATTTTATTCGAAACTTTTTCATGTACTTGTATTCTATATGGATTGAGATGTGATTGCAAAAGTACTGGTCTGAAGCAGTTGTGTATTTTGATAATCAGTAAAATTCTTCTCAATCTATGAAATTAATTATAGTTAAGATAGAAACTATGTGAAATCTTATTTCATTTGATATTAAAAAGTCAAGAGAAGTCTTTTATCTCCATTATGTTGCTTTCTGTCGTAATGAATGGACTATTTTTTCAGGGCACCATTTTTAAAAAAAAATACAAGAAATTACAAAAAAAATATCGATTATTAAAGACGATATTCATCGAACAGCAGAGACAGTATACAAGAGATTTACAAATTCAGTATTTAGCTCAAAGTCTGTACAAAGCTATAAAGAAACGCTATAATTCAGAGGAAGAGGACGATTGATCATCAAATTGACAGGATTCGTGAATATTCATTATCTTAATAGTTGTTAAATGTACGTAACTTTGATTTTTTTAATAATATGTTAGCAATGAGGCAATACAGTAGAATTTAAGCTCTAGATCATTTGTCGCTGGTATTAGATGTAAGTATTCTACACTTTGAATTAGGCCGTGAGAGTGACGGTGGAATGAGAAAAGTCGTGAAAAACGAGTACAAACATGATTAGTAGAGAAATTTATATAAATTTGGGATAGCATAATCAATACAGCATTCAGTGTTTAAGATTGGGCTAAACAACAACAAATTTTTGCTCCATTTTTAGGAGTACAAAAACTATAGAGTAAATAAATCTAGTGGATGTAATTCGCTTCCGTATACTTATTTATTCTTTGGAAAGAAATCAATGTTCAGCCCATCTCAACTCGGAGGTTCAAATTTCATTCCCGATTCCAGAAGTGTCTTTTTTCTGGAAAGATCGTCCTTTGCATTGTCTGGGTGACCATGGAATCGCTATTTACAACCTGATATTATTTTAGTATAGACATGATACGTTACAATTGCTTAATTTAAATTTTAACAAAGATTAATTAATAGCAATTGTCTTACATATTTATCGGAAAACAATTTTATTCAGTTTTGTTTCATTACGGCATTGTCTTCATACCAAATTAAACTAGTCTTTTTTTGTATTTCAGTTGCTAACCTAATACCCGAATAGAATTTATTTTTGAGAAATGGTTCGCACCCAATTCGAATTTCCTTAGTTCAAGTTAGGCACCAAATGGGATACCACATTAGGCCCATATTGGAAATGTAACGCCTATCCCTATTAGGACCAAGTAAGAAAAGCCTAATTAAGGCAAGTTAAATATAAAAACTATGTTGATTGATTATCTTATATTTTTTATGATTTTATATTGTTGAAATACTAATTATTAAACGTTTTTTAATCAAATTTCCGCGAAAATACATATGCTGAAATTTGTTCCTTGGGGGATTTTAACCTACGATCGCTAGCTTGCTCGCATCTAAGACCAGTGCCTTTATCCGCTCGGCTATTCATCCAATTAAAAAATTATTACTATTATATTAATATGAACTAATCTATATGTGAAATTTTCTCAAATATTTTTATAAATCATCATGTTAATGATTCAAATATTTTAATACTGTTATGTATGCGTACCGAGATGCAATGCAAATAAATCAGTGTGCTATCAGCCGTCTTGCCTTTTACTCGTCCCCTGCACACCTACGTATCAGTGGCGACGAATTACCCACAATATAACAAAAAAATGTCGTGCATCAGTTTCGGGGTTTTAAATAATTTTGACCACGGTCTTCAGACGTGGAAAATCTGGAAAAGCAGATTCACGCAGTGGCTAATTGCGAATGACGTCGACGCGGAAACGGACAAAGCGGGAGTAAAGAGACGAGCGATTTTATTAAGTGCACTCAGCGAGACCACGTAAAAGCTCGCATCAGATCTTGTGCTACCTAAGGAGATCCAAAATGTGCCATTTGAGGAGATACTGGAGGTGCTAGATAATCATTTCACTCCTAAGTCAACGGGATTTAGCGAGCGTCATAAAGGAGATTGCTCAGCTTCCATACATGTTTGGCCTAAAGACCAATAATCATGAAAAGTTGTTTCCTAAATTCGAAATTATATATAAATTACTGTAGAAACGAATATTATTGATGGACACCCGTGAGAACTTCTAAAAACCATATACACTGAACGATTTTGAGGTTATTTTTGCAAATAGGTACATAGGTATAAAAATAATAAACAACAAATAAGTTATATAGTAAACTAGGGAAATCAAGCCAAGTACCGAAATTATGTATTAGATTCAGGTATATAGAGCATGTAGATTAACAGAGAGTTGCCTGTTTTTAGAGTTAATGCACAAGAGTAACTTTTAAAATCAGGTATCATCTATGCATTTCCGGTTATAATAAGGAAGGTGTGACTCTGTGACAGAAACTGTGTGATGATTGTGAATGAGCCACAGATTAGAGAGAACATTTAAACTCTCGTTAAACCATATTTTAGATTGTGTTTGGCGAAAAATGTATGGCAATAGACTTAATGATGTCGCCTACCATCTATAATAATTGTCTTAGCACATTTGCATGTAGTGAAAATGATAATAAAGTTGTGGATATTAATACCACAGTGTAAAAATTAAAGTTTTATTTTATCGAGCTTTAAAAAATATATTTGATTTAATGTTATATAGGTGTCGATTCCTGTGTGATTCTTTAAACTTAAAACTAAATTTTACATAAGTCTGTCCTTTTCATTCTGTATAGAGAATGACAAGGCTACACTGTTGTCAAATTTAAGTTTAGATTTAGTCTTTGGCAAAATGTTACTACACCCATAGCCATTAAAAATGATTCGTATGTTTTTTAAACCGGTAAAATTAAAAGTCCTTTTTAAAATGAATATATTATACAAAGGTGTCCGTTAAATTGTAATTACTGTAAAATAAAGTATAAATTACGTCCAGAATTACCGTATATGTCAATATTTTTTGTGCATTTAGGCCAATTTGAGCAATCTCCTTTTATGCCGCTACCCAACACCCATCGGAGACTACGTCACAATGGGCAGCGAGGTTGAGGGGGCTTACTTCGCAATGCAAATTCAGCAACATAGAAGAGGCTTTGCGAGACCGCTTCATTATGGGGATGCTGCCTGGTGTAGAAAAAGAGAAGTTGTATATGCAGGAACTGGACGGGCTGACGCTGACGAAGGCCGTGGAGCTGGTGGAGAGCTTGGGGAGCGCGCGGGCCGCCGCCGCCAGCGCTGGCGATGCAGCCGTCGTCGCTGAACAACATCTTTTTAGGATAGAGAAACGACCTTCGATAAACGACATCGAATATAAAATAACAAAGCTGCGGAGTGTCGTTTTTCAAATTATACCTGTAGAAAGTGTAACACGAAGGGTCATCTACGTAGGATGTGCAAAAAAATTAATTTTGTGGTTACAAAGGAGGTAGAGAAAGGCGATGACGATGACGGTAAGATTTGTAATATAAGTTCAGTTAGAGGCGAACCATTAATTGAAACCGTATGTATAAATGGCATAAAGGACATCGACGAAATCGGCCCTAGCATGCCCAAAAGAATGACCTTCACTATTATTTTTCTATTATTTTTTTAACTTATTAGCAATTAACCATAGTAAACGGACAATCTGTTTAAAAAATAAAAGTTCTGTTACTAGATAGATACTACAGTCTGTTCATCCAACTTGGCACTCCTTTTTATTGAAAATACAGCATTAAAAATCAACTGATAACTGGATTCAATAGGTTTCAGTCTATAATAACGATTTATTTTAATAGTTTATTGGCTTCGTTAATATTTTATTATTAAATGGGTGATTCTGTTAAAAAGTTGTGCCAAGATTGTTTACCTTAGTAATGCAATATTGGCGACCATAGGTATTTATCAACATAAAAATAGAACTAGGTACCTTAGTTAATAATACTTATTACTAGTATTTATATTATATTTATGAAAAGATTATTTCTGAAATTATGTAAAGATAGTTTATACTCCCATCCCATGTAATATCTGTTTATTTTTATGACAATCATAATGATAACCAGGTACATACCTAATTACCGATAGTAAACTATAGGAACAGGTAAATGGAAAGACTGAACATTTCATTTGAAAAGAAATCTATCATTACTTACTACAGGTAGGTATAGGTATCATAGGTGCCAACTGACAACACTCATAAATCAATATGAATATAAGCATTTATTATTTTTATTATTCATTTAATGCATATTATTTAAGTGCTTACATAGAGGTAAACACTAAATCTATTCAGAACATATAAAGTGTACATCTTTTATGATTAAGTATAATAATTATAACCTCAAAATCTAATACATTCTGTAGTAGGCCACGGTTCCTCAAGTTGTCCGTATCTCAACAAATGCTTATTTAGAGTTTATGAATGATTCCGAACACAACTAGCATTTTCTCATTGCTGGGCATTCTAGGGCATTCAATGTATGGGGAACGAGCAATGTCCTTTGCAATTTGAAATTGATAGTGGATCAGCTGTGACCGTGATGTGCAAAGATACATTTGAAAGGCACTTTAAAGGCGTTACATTAACGAGTACAACAAAAAAATTACTTAGCTACACGGGTAATGAGTTGCGTTGCGCTGGGCGCGCTCGAATGTCGGTGTGCTGGCAGAGCCGCACTCGCTCGCTCGACGTGTTTGTGGTGCGAGACGGTGGGCCGCCACTGCTGGGTAGGGACTTTATATCGAGATTTCAATTCAAGTTAGCACCCATAAATAAGTGTCAGCTATTACAAGACGAATTAGAATCTTCACATTTGCGTTACCCGACGGTTTTTTCAGGTACCTTGGGCTGTTTTAGAAAGTATAAAGTTAAATTGACTTTAAAGGATAACGCTCAGCCAAATTTTTTGTCCGATTCCGGCCTATTGCATTTGCACTTAAAAAAAGGTAGAAAATGAAATCAGTCGTTTAGTGGAGTTGGGGGTGCTTCAACCCGTTGAGCATTCGGAGTATGCGTCGCCGATTGTACCTGTTTTGAAGCGTAATGGTTCTGTACGTATTTGTGCAGATTACTCGGTTAGCATCAACAAGCAGTTAGTAGTTGAGCAATATCCATTGCCGACCATTAATGAATTATTTTCTAAGTTGCATGGCGGTCAAAAATTTACTAAATTAGATCTGTCAATGGCGTACGGTCAATTTTGCTTAGAAAATGAAGCACAAAAGCTGACTTGACTTGTATAAATACACATCGCAGGCTATTTGCTTACACGCGTCTCGTTTTTGGTTTATCGAGCGCGCCTGCTATTTTTCAGCGCGCCATGGAAACGGTGCTTTCTCGGCTTGACGGGACATTATGCCTACTAGACGATGTATGTATTACGGGCCGTAATGACGCTGAACACTTGCAAAGGTTGCACCAAGTTTTACAGCGATTGCAAGATGCAGGCCTTACTTTACAGAAAGACAAATGTCATTTTTTCCAGGACGAAATATGTTATTTGGGCTATATTATCAATAAAGAGGAATTAAAAAAGTCACCAGAAAAGGTAGAAGCCATATTAAAAGCTCCACTTCCCACAAACATAAGCCAGTTGCAATCTTTTTTGGGGTTAATAAACTATTATAGAAGTTTTGTGCCAGGGGCTTCGACTATTCTTAGTCCCTTGTACCTACGATCTTTTAAAAAAACAAAATAAATGGCGGTGGTCTAACTTGGAAAATGAAGCATTTGAAAGAATACGAGAAATGTTAGCGTCCAACCAGACATTAGCACATTTTTATCCTAATGCAAAAATAATTGTTACGGTAGACCAGTGTTGCCAACCTCAAAAAACTAAAAAACCACAACTCGCCTAAAAAAAACAGTAGAAAGCGGTAGGCAAAGAAAAAAAGGCAGATTTCATAATTTTGCTCATATAATTAAATAATAAACAACTTTCTTAGTTACTAGAACTCACATCAATTGATATATTTATAATCACAGCAACATAAAACAAAAATCAAAGTAAAATTATTTTTCAGTTTCATTTTCAATTGCCTCATCTTCAATATTTTCACACTCATTTTTATTTTTAAAATCATACATGTTTTTGTTTAATTTCTTCATGTGCTTTTCTGTGGCTTCGAATGAATAGCAATCAGTTATTTCGGATTTAGTGTGTAATACTCCTTTAATAGTTGTAGTCGATATTCTATTGCATAATTTGGTTTTCATAATATTTATAGCAGAAAATAACCTTTCCACGGCGGCGCTGCTATGTGGTAGGCACAAAAGCTTCTTTACCAATTCACACAATGTAGGGAATGTTTGAGATTCGTCTCCATTTCTTAATTCTTGTACATGTTTCTAAAAGTCGATAATATCGGGAGTTTTGTTTTGGTCGAAAGAAAAATCGACATTTCTTAACATTCGCCATTCTCTATCCAGTTCCGTTATATTATTTGGACAAATCTTTGGGAAGAAATAATGTAAATCTGCAATGGAAGGGAATTTCTTTTTTATTTCAGAATCCAGAATTGCTTTAGGATTTAGCATCCTCAGACATTTTAATGCTTGACGGTCTTTGTCGTCAAAAGGAAACCTTTTTAATATCTGTTTTGCAGCCTCGATATAAAACTCCTTACACTTTAAGTAGAAATTTTTCAGCTGTTCTTCCT